TTATAAATGAGACCCCTGGACTGTTTCATATTCTAGCTCCAGCCCCTATTGATGTAACCTCTTGATGGTAACACCATTTGGCCTCTTTCCTCGCAGTTTCCAACAAGGTTTCTACCTGAGCACTCAGCTTGCATTTAGTTTTGCCTGTATCAAATAGGCATTGGTACATAAGACCTCAACCCAGGCATTACCAAGAGTACTGAGGCAACATTTTGACACCAGCAAATGCAGGAACAGAATGAGATGACCAGTGTGTCCTGCCCTTTAAGAAAATATTGACTCAGCCTCTGTCATCAGTACTGGCTGTCTGAACCCAGACTGGTGATAATAATCCCCATCATCCTGCTCCATCCAAGGTGTGTGTGTCTGATATAAACACACTCCATCCTCCAAGACACCCGGGTTCATGTGCTCTCTGCTCTCTTGCTTTGTGTGATGCATTTTGTGTTCCTCCTTTGTGTATCAAGTGTGTGCTGTGTATAGCTTGTTGGTGTGTGTGTGTGTGTGTGTGTGTGTGTGCGCGCGCATGTGTGGGGGTGTATTGTTTGGTATAATAACGCCTGATGAATGAGGAGTCCGCTTTGCTGACAGAGGGTCCCATTAACATGTACCGCTTGGCTCCCACTCACAATCCGTCACACACATACACACACACACAGAATGGAGGTAATCAATGGGATGATTTAATAGCATCTGTTCTGTGTCCGCAGGGAGTGAATAGCATCCATCGCTATGTTTGGCTGTGGAGGCTTTGGGTTATAGATACGGAGGATTTCGTACCAAAATGCTTTTCATTTTGAATCACGCAGCAATATTAAGAAGAGAAAATATTGCTACCTGATATTCGTTGGTCAATATTTGAAGAACCACTGGTGATGATACCCTCAAGTTATTGCTGTTTTTTTTTTAGCAATTTGATAAATAGTTTCACATTTTTGGGAAATAGACATATTAGCTTTCTTGAGTGTTAGATGAGAAAATGGATACCACTCTCATATCTGAATGCTAAATAGAAAGCTCGAACCAGCAGGCGTCTGGTTTAGCATAAAGACTGGAAGATAGTGTGAAATAAGCTAGCTTGGCCACAAAAATCCACCTCAAAAACTTGTGGACTAACTTTGGACAGATTCAGCTTCCTGTCTTTAAGCTAAACTAATAACCTGCTGGTTCCAGCTTCATATATAGCATATAATTCAGACATTATCTTGCATGAACACGTCATCGTCATTTATTTTCTAGTTTTCCACTTCGGAGGCTCACAGGGGGTAGCATGTAACCAACCTTCGACTATTGCCATTTCGTTAACAAGTGGTTGGTCATCCACCGGTCTGAAATGCGTTTAAATGCAGCACTCAAGCCTCTTGAGACTGTCGGATTCAACAGGCTTCAGAAGTGGACGCATTGCTTATTTGATATACTTAAATCAAGTGCTCATCAGAGGAGCACTATACGCAACTTAGCGGTGACGCTTTTAAGTAAAGTGTCTCAGCTTGTTAAGAGTGTATGATACAGGTATATACAATGTGTAGGGCTTTGGAATGTGTCATTATATAAAGACACACAGCAGTGATGTGCTATACTGGTTGGCAGTTAATTATCTGTACTGCACTATGCCTGCGGTCAACTTACACTATAACATTTTGTGGCTTGGGTTGTAGCAGGGTGGCTAATGTTAGCTCGTTGGGATTGATCTGCCATATTGACTGTCATAGCTTTAGCCAGTTGAGCTAAACAAGGTGGTGTGATTGTTACCCTGGTACAAAAAAAAGT